GACCACCAGGGTCATGGTCTCTCCTGGACGCTGTCTGTACCAGTACATCTGGGTTGTGACCGGCATCTTTGTTGTGGCTGCAGTTCATCTCTGCCGATTTGGAAACAAGACTCCAGTTGATTTCAGGGTGTTGGGTCACACCCTGGCAGTGACCTGTGTGGAGGAAATACAACATGTCCGTTTCAATCAAAAAGTTCGATTTTTTGTCATTTACGAGGTGCATAATTTTAATTTAACTATTGAAATGACATTCACATTTTTAGGTCTTCTATAATTGAAAGAGAAATCTTCCTCATAAACACTGTAGTTCTGCATCAGCCCGTGTGACCATGTGAGTCAATACACTAGACGCCATTAAACACTGTTCAAACATGTCGACTTGTGTTGTACCTTGAAGCATCAGCGACGACACTACGAGTGCGATGAGAACTGGAGTCATTGTAACGATGTTGTTGACGTGAGAAGCAGCGACAGCAAAATGACTGAGTCTCTTTTCATAGTGGGAGGTGGGAGGTTAAACAGATTGCTCTGCAGAAAGGGCCTCCCATCATGTTCTCTAATGTTGATCAGAAGAAAACAGCTTATTCCAGGGGTCTGATGTACAGAGATAGAATTAAAGGATTATTAAGCCAGGATTTGGTTGTGGGTGTCGATGCTGTGTGAACGGTCACGTTTTAACGGTTTATAAATGATTTGGGGTTTGTTGTACATACCCAGTGGAGTCTGGTGTCGCAGAAACATTGGACAAAATACAGCTTGAGAAGAAACGGTTGAAAACATAGGACATATAACAAAGCTGGACTGGCCGCAGTATGTCAAAACACAAGCAAATTTATTAAAAGTATGTAGAGGACTTGAAAAATTCATATTCATATTCATCACATAAAATAAACCAGAAGTCATCAGGTATCACAGTGCTTTCTCATCCCTCCTAATATTATAATGCTTATGTCAACCACAGCAACAACTGGCTATGTAATGTTGCTGTATGAGAGGGTCACAGGTGCACGGGGCTGTGAGCTTTGATACAGATGTTGTTGTTCTAAGGAGCAGTGATGTGCAGCAATGTGTAGACTAGCAGCACAGAAGTACACCGCGCTACTGTTCAGCACCAGGCCCTCAATTCTTAATTGGCACATTTGGTTTTTATCAGCACTCCCATCCATCTTTACGCCTAGTCCAGCTTCTGGGATTCTGAGGGTTTTTAACACGTATCCCAGAAACTGCAGTTTGTTGTCCCTGGACAGTTTGTACCAGAAGATTCGATCGTAGTTGGGAATACTGTGTGAACAGTTGATTGTGGCTTCTTCTGTGGGTTTGTTGTAAATATCAGCTGGAGTCTGGTGAACTTGGTCACTGAGAGACGAGCCTGTTGGGAAATGAATAAAAGATAATTGGAAACAACGTCAGAAATAGCAACAGAAAATGTGACTGGAGGGAAACCAGTAAATAGAAACAAATTTACAGGAAATCTTGAATTCATTAGTACATTACCTGAGACCATAAAATATCTAAAAGTAATGCAAATGAAGATGATGTGCATTTTGTGTTTCTTCTGGATGTTTGGT